ACAAGGCTCACTCAACAAGCAGCAGGCGACAACATGGCGTCTCTTACAGACCAACGCTTTCTCGAACCCGGCAACTTATCACTACATTTGCCCAGAGATTTGTGTAAGTTCTGTAATCAAAGGGCAGACCTCAATCACATATTATGGGCTTGCCCCTCAGTGACAGGGCAAAATAAAGAATACAGTGATGGAGAGCAGTGGGAGGCCGCACTGCTAAGCGCAGACCCAAAAGTGTAATAATAGTTTTTCGGCAAGCCGTGGATACCGCAAGAGCACAGACTCGTGGCTGCCATGTAGACGAAGGAGACAATTCTTTCACATCTTACAGTTGTTTTTTTTAATAGTTTTTCCTCTTCTTCCAGCGGCCGTGGCACTACTTACAAACGTCGCACATTTATCGCTGCCCTTCTAATGCAAATGCCGCAATGCGAGCACAGCACCTGCCTTCACAGCACCGCCGAACGGCTCGCCGCTTATCGCCTAGCTTTCATGATTATATTCTTTATGAATTAAATGTTTGCAACTTAAACACTCTACGGAATATAGCGCAAAATATTCGTACCTTATCAAAGACTCGTGGTGAAGGAAAGTGGGAGCTTTCAACTAGAACGCGTGCAATCTCACTTCTCTGATACACTTATTCAGCAGGGTCAGAAAACGATGCCGATCGGAAGTCACGGAGGAATACCCGGCTATGGGTAGTAATGGCTCCAAAGAACATGCGAGCCAAACATTATAGCACAACGCGCGGCCTGAAATTTAGAATGAATTCACAAAATCTTCTATAAATCGCTCCTTCTATATTTACTCAGCAAATTATGCCAGATGACTGCATCATAAGACCAACATCCGCGGTCCTTGGCCGATTCGAGCATCGTGAGCTCCATAGTTACCACGGTCGCCAGGAGGAGCCGCGACATGCCCGCGCGATAGCACTGGAGAAGGTACCACGTCGCCTGCAGACGCTGAGGTTGCCCCGGGCCATGCAACGGGGTGACCGACAGGTTTACCAACAGCGCTGACACGAGCACACTGCACAGCCAGCATTCAGTCCCGAGGGTTTGGGTTGGCCAGCCGGCTCGGCTTGCCGCAAGTCAGTAAGTCACGCGTACCAGCAAAACAAAAAAGTCTTCAAGTTCATGACGCGTGCTTACGAAAAAACGCAGCTTCTTTGCCCCATGCCCCCTCCCCCCCTTCCCGCTTTCTGCATAAATTTCATCACTTTCGCTGGTTTCACTCGTACCAAGTTAAATGTTTTGGCGGCAGTAGATTCGTGAATCAATGAACACCATAAATACAGCCATTCAATGTTGACTTTAAAGAGTCGCAGGGCTCCTTTATATAGGCCATAAATTCCTTTCCATGACTCGCTGCGTTACTTAGTCACCACCAATGGAAGTTGAACTCTCTTTGTATGCCTTCGCGTTTCCACTCCGTACGGAATGTGGGGGTGCTGACACCCCCCCCCCCCCTGTAAAGTTGTCTGCGCCGCGTGGCGCTTGTGTCTCGCCCCAAGGCTTTATTTCGGTGGTGACCACCACCGGGCAGTAGATGGTGTTGTGTTCGCTTTGAGTACCACTGTTGGTAGAGTGGTAGCGCCGTTGGTGGACCCTGGCGGAAGGCAGGCCTTGGCGGTGGGCGAGCGGTGAGTGAGCCTCTTCTGCGCGTGGCGGCTGCCGCGAACGGTTGTCTGTAGCATGGGCTCCCGGTGCTCGGCACCGCGGGCTTCGCGCCGGGGTCCCACGTGGAAAGTCAGGCGTTGGCGCCGCCGCCTTTGGTATGTGTTAGTGTGTTGGGTGTGTGTTTATCATGTTATTGTGTGTTTAGTGTGTTACTGCACTATGTTTGTATGGTAGCTGTTAATTAAAATTGATGTAACATTCGGTGGACGATATCGTCGTCTAAATTAGTTAATAAATGTATGTTGTGTGCTGTGTACCGACCGTGTCTGCTGTGTCCGTTCACCCCAAGAGCGTGGCGTGGCGAGGCGCTCGTTCACCTCGCCGAGACCCCACACTGGCGCCCAACGTGGGGCTCTTGGAGTATCGGACGACAGTTTTTGCGGTTCAATACAGGGATTTTGTTAGAGCCGGAGTAGAGTAGGCCTAGGGGGGACTTCTTTGCTAGCGTCGGTGGTGTGCTTTGTTGAGAAGCGAGGAGATTGGTTTTGTAACGTGTTTGAATTTGTCGGCAGGTTGAATTTCTATTTATTTTTTTTTGCTCGCAAGTGTTGTTATCTTTCGTTGTTGTTAGTTTTCAAAAACGTTGTTGAATTAGGACGAGAGCCATGCGGTCCGCATCCTTGGGTGAGCAAGGCCTAGAGCACGTGGTTTGTAGGCCAGGCCCGAAGCGAGTGAGTACGGAAGCCTCGTGGGTGGTCCGATTTTCCGTAAATAGCTTCTTCTATATCTTTAGGCTCAGGGAGCCGGGCGTCGTTGCTGTCTGGTATTGCGGCTCGACGCCGAGGCGTCGTGACACCGCCCAGGGCGGTGGACGCTGATCGCTCGGTAAGCTGCTGTGTGCGGCGGGCGATAGGGCCACCTCAGAGTGGACGTCTCCTCGCGGCTGCCTCTTCTGCGCCTATGCTGGGTGCTGGGTGGATGCCGATTGTTGCCGAGCGACTCATTAGGCCTAAGGCTCTGCGCAGCCGCCTGTCGCACGTGGCACAACTAGGTGGATCGTGACGTTGAGGTGTTGCGCTCTGCTTCCCTCACTTTTTTTTCTTGTGAGCACGAGTTAGGAAAAGTGATTTTTGCTTTATTTTGATGGGCGTCTCGGCCGCCACCGATGTATTAGCTAGCAGTACTGACCAACGTACCACGTGGACGAAAAGCTCAAAGCTCCCTTCCCAAGGACCTGCTCGATTGTTTCCTTCCAAGTTTTTTTGTTGTTATTTATGTATTCGGCGGGAGGGATGTCATCCACGGCCGGCTGTCCTGCACATCATCAGCGTCGCTGGCCAGGAATGCGGTCATGAGGTCGGGCGATGGAGATGTCTGGGACCTGCGCAACTGCCTGCAGTCCGGCGCCCTCGCGAGAGCTGGTCGCAACTGGAAGACGTGTCGGCACTAGCGACGGATCGTCGCGCCGACGGCAACGTTGCTGTTGCGGGGCCGGTACTGAGGTGAAGTCTAGCCGGACAGTGCATCAGTGTCGACCAGCGGCGGTGTCGTGGTGCAAGGACATTATTGTCGTGCGGTATCATTTTTTTTGTTAAAGCTTGTGTAGCTAATTTTTGATTTCGAGATATGGTTTGATTTAAGGTTGGGGGAATGTGGGGGTGCTGACACCCCTCTCCTGTAAAGTTGTCTGCGCCGCGTGGCGCACGTGTCTCGCCCCAAGGCTTTATTTCGGTGGTGACCACCACCGGGCGGTAGATGGCGTTGTGTTCGCTTTGAGTACCACTGTTGGAAGAGTGGAAGCGCCGTTGGTTGTTCCTGGCGGAAGGCAGGCCTTGGCGGTGGGCGAGCGGTGAGTGAGCCTCTTCTGCGCGTGGCGGCTGCCGCGAACGGTTGTCTGTAGCGTGGGCTCCCGGTGCTCGGCACCGTGGGCTTCGCGCCGGGGTCTCACGTGGAAAGTCAGGCATTGGCGACGCCGCCTTTGGTATGTGTTAGTGTGTTGGGTGTGTTAGTGTGTCTTTAACATGTTATTGTGTGTTTAGTGTGTTACTGCGCTATGTTTGTATGGTAGCTGTTAATTAAAATTGATGTAACATTCGGCGGATGATATCGTTGTCTAAATTAGTTAATAAATGTATGTATGTTGTATGCTGTGTACCAACCGTGTCTGCTGTGTCCGTTCACCCCAAGAGCGTGGCATGGCGAGGCGCTCGTTCGCCTCGCCGAGACCCCACAGGAAGTACCAGTAGGATGTACCTGTTGTGTATTTTTCTTAGGGGGGTAGTGGTAAATTACCTCTTATTATATCAATACACCTGTCAAATGCGCTCCACACAATTATTAGTCTATTTACTGGTCTCGTGGTTCGGCTCTGCAGTCGCTACCTGTGTTAAGCAGGCGTATTCTTTTACCCCTTCTAGCGCCTCGCTACCCATGGCAATGCGCCAATCTCTTTTGACACTGTTCAAACATTAGTTTACAGCACATCAATTCGTCCCTTGACTTACTGATCAATGCAATATCATCAGAGAATTGCAGGATACGAAAGCACTCTCCATGAACTCTTATCCCGAACTACTCTTAATCTACAGTCCTGAAAAACTCTCATGTTTTTCTGCCTATCTTCTTTATCCGAGCTTTGTCACTTTCTTTATGAGACCGATAGTGGAGCACATGTGCATAATGACGCAGGGAATGCATGAAAACAGCAGGCACTCATTCAATGAAGCAGTTAACTGGCCACAAAAAAACATTAAGCAGCACTAGTGATGTTCTATGCAGGGAATTATCCCCTTTTCGGTGAAATTTCGTCTATCATCTTGGGCCTAAGAGAAAAAATAAATTATGATATTGCAGGAAATTTCAGGAATGATTAAATTCTTCCATGATGACAGCTAATTAGCCGTAATTGGTTCTGGCACATGCAACAAACATGCATTGCCTTTGAGATTTGTTTCTGTATAGTTACGTGAAGCGATTTCTCATTCACTATTGGTGTTAGACATGAAGCCCACAATGTGCAGTCTACTAACAGTATATGAATTAGTAAAGTCATCATTTCAAAAGTTGCGAGTACATGAGACATGTAATTAAAGTATGTGTGTGTGGATGGAGGCAGAAATTAGTACTGTTGTGCAAAGAAATATGCTGAAAATTTCATCAACGTTTACAGTTGAAAATCTCTAAAATATAGAAGTTTCATATCTCTGAATGGGAATTCTTTGGTGTAGTACAGAACATAGCAGCACAGTGACAGGTGTTGCATAATATGTGGTGCATGCAAAATGAATATGTGGCATTCGATCACCACGACAGCGCAACCACTCATATGAAACAAGCTTTCACTCTCGTGGCAGTGCCACAAGTGCAGTGACAATTCAGCTTTCAAAAGTCAACACATTTATTGGCATGAAACTCTATATGAGTTACATTACACTGACTTAGGATGATTGTAAGCCGCCCATACCATTGCGCAGCTCCCGTTGCCAGCCTGCCAAAGCACGGGCAGCCACATGTTGCACGACAATGCAGAAACAAATAATTCAGTGCACGGCAGGAGACAGTGCTTGATCTTTGGCAATTCTGTACTGCCAGGCTTTCTGATAGCAGGCATTCCCATGCATTCCTGTTCACCTCATCTACCCACACATACGTGAATGAGACAACCTGCCCACCGGAGAACACAACCTAAACCCAATGCACAAGCAACTAAACCACATAAAGGAAGCACTGTCTAGTGACGCCACAACATGCACAATTAAAAAACAGCAAAATGCACGAAAAGAACTATGTCCCTTTGCTACAAGGTGGTTATGAACAGCACTTGGTTTGCATTCTTGACTGAACACTTTTAGACATAATTTTTAGCACTGCACTGATCGCCCAAGCAAGTAGTCAGAATGCCTGCTACTTGAGCAAGATGCCATGTAATACAAAAGCGAAAAGTATCAACCTTGAAAATAGCCTAGCCTTCCGCGCATCCACTACAATTATACGGAACACGAAGCTCAAGCACAGCCAAGAATAACGGGCCTTCAAACAAAGGTCTATGATAAATTCTGCAGCACGTGCAAGCCCTTTGCAGGCTGTAGTTCGGGGACTTAAAGCATCACCATGATTGGCAAAGGACACCGTTATCAATGAACTAAATTAGCTGTTCAGGTTTGTTGCCACCCACTAAGTTTCACTGGACAAGACATTTCAACCCATTTTTATCCTTCACAGCCAAGCACAATGATTTTGCAATGTAGGTATGACTTAGCTGTTGCACCGTGACAGCCAGTCCACCGTTAACAGGTAGCACTTACTGACATTCCTGAATAAAAAACATCTAAACCAAGGTTTTAAGATGCATAACGATCCCATAAAAGTAAAATATTTATATAACCACTGTAGGCAAGAGCTTACAAAAATCTCATGGCTACTGATCACTGGGATTAGGATACTCTGGGCTAAGGCGTTAAGTCATTAACAGAGTGTTGTGTCACGGCCACCCGAAGGTTTAAACAGGTCTCGTAAAATGCCGTACATCAGCAAATGCTGAAGGTTACCTGCAAAAGCATGTGGCAGCAATAAGGAGAAACGCCCTCCGTGAGGAACCTTGTATGGCACAAGACACAACAGTTTGAACAGTAGACATTTTTTCAAGTCGCTGAATGTGGTATACTACAGTGGCAAATGTGATGATGTAACAGCGGTTTCAGACTTGCTAGAGATTTGTTTGTGAGCGAAAAAATGCTTCCAGGCTGTCATAAGAAAAGTCTGGTTAATGTGTAGGCTTACACTGCGCCACACAAGCTTGTAAGACACAAAAAGCATGAAGGGCCCTGCCCATGTACAAATCGAGGACAAAGATATATGTATACATAATATATAATATATATATTAACGATGAACACAACTAGACTCCCTGATGCATCAGCACCTGGTCCACACAATGCATGAAGCACAATAAAAACTTGTGCAAAAATTCAAGAGGCTGCCATGTCACCTCATGCAAACGTCGCAATAGGGTGAGCAAATCCAGACACATGGGCCCTTTTCATAACACTAAAGCAAGACTTCTCAGTGGCTGCCTGCTGAACTAATGGTGGCATAACTGTGTAATTGGCTCACCTTACAATGAGAAAGAAAGAAACAAAAGAATCATGATGGAACAACAAGCAAGAAAGTACTACCAACTGCAGCCAGCACTTCTAAAATCTGAACCTTGAACTTAGCGACATCATCTATCTTTTAGCTTGACAGCACAGACGCATGAAGACCAATAATAGCACAATAGTGTTCATGCGCCAAAACCATGATATGATTATGAAGCACTGTAGTGAAGGACTCCACATTATAATCAACAAACTGAGGTTGTTTAATGTGCACCTATATTCAAGAACGCAGGTGTTAGTGCATTTTGCCTCCATCAAAATTCTTCTACCGTTGCTGGCCATTGAACCCACACCCTCGAGTTTAGCACCGCAATCGCTTACTTGCTGGGCTACCACGACAGGTAAATTAAGGTGAAACAGTCTGACATTTAGTCCTCGTATTAGTATTGTTACGGTCAGTTGGGCAAACGTTCTATGCTGAAAAGCTTACTTGCACATTAGGAAAAGGGCCAATTATAACCTGTCACCAAGTACACAGTGTTTAAGTTAGATAAAAGAAATCTTTTGATCACTCCTTCTCCTATAATAGTGATGCGTGTTGGCTTTCAGCCCCACAGCGTGCCTTCTCGGAAGGGCTTACACAAGAATGAACAGCATATGTTGAATGCCTACATCACTCTCAAAGAAAAAATAAAATCAAGAAGAGTCCAACCACTAGCAAGCCCCTCAGTGACTGCAAGTACTTCGATGTATAGAGCAGTCACCTTGCCGACACACGATGCACACAGAAGAGAAAAAATAGACTGAACACCTGCTGCATGTCCTTGATCAGGTGACAAGTCATTTTTTTTTTTTCGAAGAAGTCACTGTTGCTTTTGTAGAAGAGGGCACAGAGGGGCGAGAACGGCCACAGGAGAATGCACTTGAAGGCTTTGCAAGGCGCCACTTGCTCCTATGACCCGTTCAATGAACGTGGTTTCGAACAACACGTCTTGCGGGGCGGAAGGAAATCTGGGAGAAGAAACACCACACGGGAAAAAGGGTCTTAGCGGACAGAACCGGGCAAGTGTAATTTTGTTTCTATCTCCTCACTGAAGCAATTTCCTGTAAAGCACGGTTGACACAGTAGACACACCTGCATAAGAAGCCATGTTTCAGCTCAGCTTGGACTGCGGCAGCTGCTGAGAAAAACCACCACAACGCACTGCTTGCGCTGAAACTTGTGAGATGCCTTACTTGATAAGCTGCCTGCGCTCCCTACATTTCAGCACTTGACTCCATTGGTGGTGAACCTATTTCTCTTGGTGCGCCGGCCCAAAGCAAAGAAAGAGTGATGCCGCAATTAAGGACACACGTGGGGTGCCACTCTCTTTGAACACCATTTTTCGTCAGCAATGGCAGCGCACTCCACACAGCAGCCCTTTCACATTACTGAGTGCTGCACTCCATTCACAGTAAGAGGTGACCCAGGCGCAATATCATGCAGTGAAGACCAAATTTCCGCAGCTGTCAGTTGTGCTGCTCCCCATTTTGATGGCACGTCTGCAATTTTTGCGCAGCTAAATGGCACCCTCCTAGTGTGACATGTTGGCCTCATCCAAGCTGGGTTTTTGCAACCAACTAGTGCACTCACAGCTTAGCTCAGCTCTGAGAGTGTTAGCGACCAAGTCGAAGCTTCCATTTACCGGCATAGTTTGAGATTGAAAATGTTTACTTATGTCGGCCAACTATCTATGCCACTCTTGCAATCTTTCACTCGACAACAAGCACAAGCGAGTAAATTATATTCCATGTGTTTGGCTTCACTTTTCTAGCAAATTCACAAGTGCGGGAAGCTCATAAACCGAACTGGTGGTCACGTCTCACACTTCTGCCTCAGTCCAATAGAAGCTGGACAGTTCAGGCTCAGTCACATCTTGAGAGATGGTCTAGTACTAAGGTGGGACATATGGCGGTGGCTGCCTGTAGGTGGGAGCAGCCTTGGGCCTCCGGTCAGCATGTCCCGACGCAAACGGCGGCGTTGGGTGCTGGTAAGGTGCAGCACTGTCCGCAATATCAGCTCCTCGAGGCGTGATGGTACGGCGTCCCGTTTGAGGTGTGGCCCCACGTGGGTACTCGGGAGGCGGTAGAGGAGGCCGCTCTTCTTTCATTATAACCGGTGGCTTCGCTGGATCCGGCTTGTCTTCCAATTCGTCAGCAAATATGATGGGTATGCCCTTGTTGATGAACGTGCTGCTGTCTTGCATGCTGAGCTTTCCCTTGCGCTTTTTACGGTACAGAAGGCAGGCGATGAGGGCAGCTAGCAGAAGCATTGCTGCGATCACAGCTGCCGGAATTATGGTAGTTATATACACATCATCATCAGCTGGTGGAATAGTTTCTCCAGGAGGTGGTGCAGTGGGTGCAGCTGCTGTTCCCGCTCCCGCAACAATGGTAGGGTGGAAGGCCTTTGTCCATACATAGACCCAGAGGCATAGTGTCTGCCTTGAGTACATGAAACTCTGGGCGCATTTCGTCTATAAGACGCTGTGTCAAAGTCTGGTTGTCATGTACGAGACGTCGCATGAGCTGAAGGATGGTTTCTGTAGGACATGGTTCATAACGAAGCGTGTTATTGGTCCAGGCATACACAACTGAACCTTGGCTGATGGTGTTTACTGTTATGAACCTTGGGTCAGGATCACCATACAACTGTGCCAGCTTCCATGCCACTAAGACCTTGCGGCTGATGTTGCGGCTGAACGCTTCGAAGTCCTCTTTTAAGTGTAGGCTGAACTCAACCGCCCACTTCATTTGTGCACGAGGCTGTACTAGCACAACGAAGACATCTGTGACTGTCGCACCAGCACTGTCTTGGGCAACCATTTGGAACTCATGCCTCGGAATGTCAACGTCCAAGGGCAGGCCATACAGCTCTTGTGTCCGTGGGTTGAACTGTATCCAAGAAGTCTGGGGCAGCTGCACCCCATCAGCAGAAAGGAAGCTCAATGCCAGATACCGAGTGGAACCATCTTCATAGTCATAAAAGGTGTCATCAGGAATTATGAAACGTAAGATTTCTCCCACAGTGGCATTGATCTGGCCAATGGGGTTGCGTCTAGTGGGTGCTTGGTTTTCAAGAGGAGGTGCGGAAGATGCTGGAAGGCTGGCATACACCTGAGTATTCCACCCGTACAGAGAGAAGTTTGAGATTACCTAGAGCCTTCTTGAAGGCTGGCGATGGCCCACCAGCCTTGTCAACCATCCGATCGTAGAGTGTATCCAATTGTTCACGGGGGCAAGGGTGCTTGGGCAGCGAATCATTGGTCCATGAAAGTGAAAAAGGATCGCTCATTGCTGCCAGCACAGTAATTTGGGATTCATCAGGATCCCCAAAGAACTTTGCGAGCCGGCGCACGACAGCAATTTGCCAGTCCAGACTGTTGACGTACTCCCAGCGTTTCGGTTTAAGAGTGGTATTGAACTTATGGTGAACTGCTCGTGCACCAGTATGCTGCCACACATTGATCTCAACCATGTCCTGCACAGTGTCTCCTTCAGCATCCATGGCTTCCAAGATGAATGTGTACTTGCCAATGTTGTCATCGAGTGGCAAAGCTGACAGGGTCTGCTTTTCGGGGTCAAACTGGATCCATGAACGTGGTTCAATGGCTGTGCCTGCTGAGGTGACAAACATGAGCTTCAAATTGCGTGTGTCACCATCTTCCGCATCAAGGAAGACGTCTTTCGGGATCTGGTAGCTCCACACCTTGCCCGCTGTTACAATCAGCTTCTGAAGTCGTTTGTTTAGCATGGGCCGCGAGTTACCAGGCTTTCTGGTCACAGTTGGTTGAAGAGGCGGGCTTAGCGATGGCTCGGGTGGCCGACTCGTGGGCTCCACAATGCCAGGACCAAAGGTCGGGGTTGCCTCAAAACACCACTCGCCTCCCAGCCAGTCACAGTGCGCGTTGGCCGAATCGGTGGCAATGGTGGCGTGTGCCCCGATGGGAAGTGCTGTAGGCAGGGTCACCATGGTGAGCGTGGGCGATGGGGCAATGACCCCATGCCTAACATGGTCGCCATGGTGATGCCGGTGCGCATGGGAAGAATGTCCACCTATCATGGGCGATGCCATTGTGGGCACGATGCGTGTTTCAGGCGTCGCAATGGGTTGCTCGCTCGCTTCCACTGCTGCTGCTGCTGCTGATGACTATGGTGGGAAGCACAGCAGGCAAAAGCGGAGTGCCAGCAACATGATTGGCATGGGCTCGTGTTTGTCGTGCTTGCACATTCGATACATGCCAGCCGACAATTGAGTGCCCAAGGAGTTTTGCCAAAGTACTGTCTCTCGCTGCAGTCTCCAGTCGAGCCAAGGCAGCTGCGTGAGCTGCTTCCACATCACTACTGCAACCCACGCGCCACCGCAGTCGAAGGCCCTGTGTGTGCCGTTGTCGGCTGTTGCCTGCTCCAGCCAGAAGGGCCGCCTCATCGTAAGCCGGCTCGCCCGGGGCCATTGGGCAGAGGGTTATTTCTTTAGTAGAAAAGCCGAGAAATTTGGCCAAGCCATACAGCAGCTGAGCTCGCGCCTCTGGAGATTCACGGTTGGCGTCAGCGTCGACTGTGAGCACGGCCACAGCTATCGGGTCACCTGACCCGCAAGGACCTCGTGTTGCAATTCGTTCTTCATCAAGAACCTCCACAGAGAAGACGTCCTGGGCCTGTGATTCACCTGCAAACGAAATTATGAGGTATGAACTCCTCGGAAGAAAAAAAGCACATGAAAAGAAACTGCACATAGAGTCTATTACAGGCCTGGTACAGAGAGATGATTGGCATGCTATGTTGACTAGTCGCACACAAATATAAAAATACCAAGTCAAAGCAAACACAGGCACTTCATTCTGACCTGCCAGCAACCACCCAGCCTCACTTAATTGAGATTTCCGTTTTCTATGCATCGTCAAAAGTTATTTGCAAGAACATTTTCACCAACAGCAATTTCAAGCTCCTGCACGGCCCTTTCTTGAAAGTAGGTTCCAACGCAAAATATTCTTGAAACAGAACACATAAAAATGCAACATGGGATAAAGATGTTGATTTGTTCGCATTGTCATGAGGGTGGTGACGTCGACGATGGGAGCTGATTGTAGGTCCAAGATAAAATTGTTTGATATGTGGAATTTAACATTCCAAAACCACTATATGATTATGAGAGACGCAGTAGTGGAGGGCTCCAGAAATTTCAACCACCTGGGGTTCTTTAACCACTCAAATCTGAGCACACGGGCCTACAACATTTCCACCTCCATCGGAAATGCAGCAGACGCAGCTGGGATTCGATCCCGCGACCTGCAGGTCAGCAGACGAGTACCTTAGCCACTAGACCACCGGGGCAGGGTAAAATGAAATTGTATAGTATTTGGCTGAACTTGTGGCCGGTGAAAAGAAAGTCGAATTACAGCAACACACTGGCACTGGTAGCGGAGAACAGATCATCATCCGTTGACCAACTCGCAATGTGGTGACGCGCGTGGGCATTTATACGTGTGCCGCCGAATATTCCAGCATTATCGCTGGCAGCCGCGTTAACTTCCAGGAGCATCTGTAATGTTCATGTTGTACATTTAATGTTGACAAAACTATCTACTACAATGATGAAGCTCCTAGAACACCGAGTCGCAGTGTGCGCTGACCGTCGCTGGCCATCACTGTGGGCGTAGACTGAATACAGCAAGAGCGAAACATAAGCAATGCCCATGGCAGTACTAGCTGCAGGACTAAGCAGGACTAAGGGAAGTGGTAATGAGTATGAAGTTTGCAGTGCTTGCCTCATTCTACAGTAGCCATCAGAAAAGATGGTGTCACTTGCTGTGTTACCTTTTCTTTTTCTTTCCTGCCCCCCTCCGGTTCACGACGTACAGCTCAAAAACGTGCCACAGAATGAATGAACCCGCATTTGTCTTCCTGGCACTGCGTGGGTCTTCTTGTTTTTCAGGCCAGCGGTCATCCAGCCGCAGAATACATAACATCAGAATACATCCAGCCGCAGAATACATAATAGATATGCTGACAGTAAGATAGCAACATAAAGAACATCACACAAAAACACTAAAGAAATACAAACACTAGAAGGAAACTGAAACAGAAAACTGGCTTTAAATATAGAGACAAAGTAGAACAAGCATTGTTGTGCTAAACTGAGTAACAGATGAAGCTGCGATTTTTCTAGAAATTCGACTAGGATTACTTATTTACACAATATCTGAAGAGCCATTAAATATTTCAAAGACATATATGGCAATACAGAATTTGTGAAACACGGTGTGCAAACAAAAATGGGCCTGGAACCGAGATAATAAGATTGTGCAGATGTGTGTGAAGAAATTTTCAGTGAGAGATGGCTGGACCTCGAGTATGTTTCAATATGCACAAGAAAGCACTATAATGATGAGAACTCATGTTCACATACTGAGTACCTCGTTTGAGTTGAGTAATGCTAAGAATAAATATTTGAGCGACTAAAAAAAATGAAAGCCACACAAGTTCTCTCCACAATAAAATATTTTAGTATCCATGCTGAATACCCGTGGGATTTAATTAATTTCATATCTCTCAAAAATGACACTGCAATCCACACAAGAAGGAAATTCGCCTGCCATCATAATAGTTCCCGCAATATGTATTGATGTAATGTAGCCGCAGCATAAAAAAAAAGTGCCGAGATTCATTTCTTGCACATATAAGTTATATAAAATACAGCCACAATACGTCTGCATGGCCAAAGGTATATTAATTTGCAAAAGCAAAAAAGTCTGAAGTGATTGAAGACAAAAAGAAATGCGCAGCAAAGTTGCGATTGTTCACTGCCCGTTTGAAGTTGCGCTGTTTCGTATTTACCAGTGCTCACATACAATGGCTATTCACACATCATGTAAAGTGGCTAATTATGGAATGCCTAGAAAGAACTAGCTATCGCATAAGTTTACTGCAGCGAAATTTCATCTATAGACCACGAAATTAAGCAAGATCTGAAGGTGATGAGTCATCTTTTGGTCCCAGCAAGCCCGTGAATTGAATTGCCACTGAACATATTTGCTTGCAAATAACATGCACCCAATATACAAAACATTTCGAGTCTAACTAGTGGTGTAAGTTATGCGAAATTAATAGGTTGGTGCGAATAGTAAATTTCAGGTTCGAAGCAAATTCGAAGCGAAAAGTAATCTTGGTGGAATAATTTAAAATTGAATCCGAATAATGTATACATATACATACAATGACCTACCGTATTTACTCGATTCTACCGCGCCCTCGATTGTAACGCGCACCGATTTCCACCACGAAAAAAAAAAAAAACGTAAGACATCGATTGCAACGCGCACCCATTTTTCTTGCTGGCCCGCACGATCACACCACTCGAAAAAACGACTCCTTTCGGGAGCGTCTTCCATTTAAATATGAGGTACGGGCGAAGCTTGTGCCTATCTGACGTGTAACAGAGCATTGCCGTCACTGTAGTTTTACCGTGGACCGATGTCAGCACGCGAACTTGCTTCGCCCCCTTCTTCTCGACGGTAGTGGTGCCAGGCATGTCGAAGTAAAGAGGCGTCTGATCAGGCATTCCCGATTTGCCCAAGCAGGCAGCTGTTGTTGCGCCTCAAGTTTAGGATGAACCTCTGAAAACTGTGAAGCTTTTCATCGTACTCCTCCGCAAAACTTTTTGCATATGCATGTTTCCCTTCGGAGGGAAAAGCCTTTCCACTTCATAAAGTTAGTTAGCCAGCACCTGCTCGCTTTAAACTGGCTGCACATTAGACCTTTTTCTAAGACTAATTGCATAGCCCGCACATGGAGCAGTTCTGTCGTCACGGGCCGCTGTGCCGTTCAAGCACATACTCGTCCGAGCAGCTCTTTAATTTGCGGATACCGACCCTGCTGTGGTCCACTGAAGCCTTTGCGTGAAGCTTTGCTGTCGACAATCTTCTGCTTCTGTTTCCAGTCGGTCCCACACGCGCGTTTAGGAAACTCCGAACGACCGCGATGCGGCCCGATTTCCGTCCGTTTCTGCACACGCGATGACTTTTCTTTTAAAAGCGGCATCGTGGTGCACTCAAGTTTTTGGAGTCGGCCCTTCCACGCCGTCGATGCTAATGCACTACTAGATGACGAACTCCTCAGCACACGTACGAAGTGCCGCACATGGGAAACACATAGGCAGAAATGGCGGACGCGCCATGCCTACGCACGTAGGGGGCGGCCATTTTGGATTTGCCGATGGCAATAGATTGACCGTAATTTTTTGTTCGTACTCGATTCTAACGAGCATGCGATTTATGAACTCGCTTAACCAGCAAAAAGGTGCGCGTTAGATTTGAGTAATTACGGTAACTAACGTTTCCAATATTTTTTTGATTGAAATAAGGCCTCTGGGCAAATGCCATTTTTTTTTGTTCAAAGGAAGTCTAAAAACTTTGTGTAGTTTCAGGATGTGTCTTATGGTACAATCCAAGTGATAACCTGTAAAATGTGTAACATTTCAAAATTTACTATACACAAGCTTTTTGACTTTAAAAAATTGTAATCGATTTAAGGATAATATGTCTATATAAAGGGGCCCTGCAACACTTACTTAAGTAGCCATGAAATGGTTTCATTAAAGGAGCTTACTGCTTCGCGAGTTCACTGCTGCAATTATTTTTAACAAATATCCGGTACAAGCGGAGTTAATCAGATTTGTAGCACGTTGCAGTTGCCTTCTTCTCTCGTCCCTATGAAAGTGCTAGAAGCTAAACAGGGACAGATGGCATGGGAAAAGAAAATATGTCACACGCGCCTCAGAACCTTGCACAGCTCTTTCTTTTTTTTTTAAAGACGATAGTCTTTCATGGGGACCTTGAACGCAAAAATTTTCGTCTGTCCGTACATTGGTCTGTTTGATACCGTGCATTTTAAACGGCACCAGACGATACCCAAACGCCGACCCCATCAGCAGAGCCCACCAATGTTGCTCAAGATTCAGCGTTCATTCTTGTGCAATTATCAATTAAAGAGCAATTATTGCACATATCTGAGGCACCATAGCAACACATACATATTCTGTATGTGCGTCTTTTACTGGAAAAGGCATACAGAAGTAATTATAAGGACCGTAGCATTCATGCAACGCTTGCATGAAGATGTGAGTATTTCCAACGCATTTCTAAGAGGACACGGTGGTGGCACCTACCCCTCGCCTTGCGTTCTACACCTTATCACCTCTGATACGGGGGCACACACCTGTCTCAGAGCCATGCACTTTGTTTCGTAGGAAAACTTCCAGAGAGCGCTCATGTCTCACGTGTGACGTGACTTAATGTGATTGTTCGCCTCCGCTGCACAGCTCGAGGCACTCTAATGCAGCACCTCCAGATTATGATTCACTTATTTCTTGCACAGAACATCAAATAAATGTTTTAATGTTCACTCTCCACACGCAAGACTATCGTCTTTCGACGACGTTTGCAGATTAACATGCAGATACCGTGGGCCAATTTTTTTAAGTGCGACCGCACACGCACGCGTGAACAAGTTGCGGCCTCCCACGAGTGCCCCAGTAAGAAACAAGAGTGCCATGCTCAAATCAGACAATAGGTGATACAATGGCTGTGATGTGCGATTTTTAAGCTTGTAGCATCATTTGTCGAAAGAAGATAAAGCAAGTTCTAACTGGCTTTGAGAGATTAATGTGAATTGCAGGCCGCGTGCTAGACTATAATAATTGGCTCACCTGTTCTCGGTAGCCTCGACTAGCAGTAGACAGCACTTCTGACCACGCTCAAAAAGTGTTGCAGTGCCCTTTAAATTTTGAAGTGGGGCTTCGTGGCAATGCCAATTTCCCTTGAGTAGATGCTTTCACGGTTTAGCACACGTACACTGCAGCGAAACTACCTTTACAGAAAATACATGCAGTTTAATATACATTTACTCGTTCATTGCGATTTCTTCAAAATTTTCAATTATTTCAATTTGAATCAAAGCGAATTTGAATACTATACTATGACTATTCAAAGCATTTTATTATTTGCACAAGACTAAGAAAAAAATATAGATATTATAATATGCGGGGTTTAAAGTCCCAACCACTATATGATTATGAGAGACGCTGTGGTGGGGGGTTCCTGAAATTTCAACCACCTGGGGTTCTTTAATGATCACCCAAATCGAAGCTCACGGGTCTGCAGCATTTTCGCCTCCATCGATAATGCAGCCGCCACAGCCGGCATTCGCTCCCGCAACCTGCGGGTTAGCAGTGGACTGCCTTAGCCACTAGACCACCGCGGCAGGTTATACGAAAAAGCCGGTGCACAATTAGGCTTTATGGCACGCCTTAGCGGTAAAGCAAGAAAGACTCCCTTGAAGTTATATACAAGTACTTTTTTCTTTCTCCCCCAGTTTGCAGTTTGAGGCGCTGGTTAAATGTAGGGGTGAGTTATACACGAGTAAGAATGATATTGAACTAACCTTGGAGCCTGCCAAGCATGCACAGCCGCGAGCAAACGTGCTATAACTTTGCTAGAGACCAACTAAAAAATTGGCCCCGTATTTGCATATTAATCTGCGAATGTCGTCGAAAGACGACAGTCTTACACGTAGAGAGAGAGAACAAAACATTTATTTGATGTTCTGCGCAAAAAAAATTGGTGAATGGTATTTTGGAGGCGTGGCGCTAGAGAGCCTCGAGCGTGCAGCGGAAGCGAACGAGCGCATCAAGTCACGTCACACAGGAGACATGAGTGCTATCTGGCAGTTTTCTCGGAAAACGAAGCGCGTGGCTCTGAGACGGACGTGCGTGCCTGTCACAGAGGTGATAAGAAGTGGAACGCAAGGCGACGGGTAGGTGCCACCACCGTGTCGTCTTAGCGAAGCGCTGGAAACACTACGATCCTTAGAATTACTTATGTATGCATTTTCTTCCCTTCGTCAGTCTTCCCTTCGTGCTGGCGCATCATGAAAAATGGCACTGAGGCTTGAAAGGAGATTCTCTAGGCCCCACTTGTTGGCAACAACATCCGCCCTGTACGTGTTATGTATGGTATGAAGTTCGCAAGTGCCCAAGTTCAAACACTGAACTTGATGGTTCTGCAGCAGGTATTCCTGCATTCCTCTAAAACACTTCAGGTTTACATTGGGGCCATTCATTGACAGCTGAACAGCTCTCGCCAGCGGCAAATCTTCCAGGGCACCCAGAAGCTTCTCTTGAAGGTCTTCGGCAGTTGAATGTCCCATGAACACCGACGTATAAAACCTCGTGGTCACCCGCTCGGGCATTGTGCTCCAGTAGCGCACATGAATGTCGACTTGCTTCCTCTGCAGGTAGTCGTTCAAAGACTCGTCGAACAGAACGGTGTTACTGTCCGACTGCTCCAATTCGCGTTGCAGGCATGAGAGAAAAAACGGTCTCAGACCATGGCACACCACGTATGCAGATTTCCTCTCACTGCAGGAAAATGCCTTAGCGATTTCACTGTCCGGGAACATTTTCTTGAAAAGGTCCCCCGTATGTGCGGACGATTTGTAGGAGTAGTGCACCGTGGCCATTTTCAGTGTCCACAGTATCTTCGCGTCGACCACACTCTCATGAGCTTTGCACAGGCTGCTCACATCCGACGACGTTGAACTTGAAGGAGTTGGCTCGACGCGTTGCTTCTCAACAGCTGTGAAGTGGCTCCGCACAGTACTATGAGCTATGGTTGCTGTCATGTTCTCCACATGCTTTGCGCTTTTCATGTGACTTTTGAGGGCAGACTCCCCCATTGACGAAACGTCGAATGTTTTTGCACATACCTTGCACTTTGCTCGATGCGAGTTTGATGTGTCCGGAGAAATCCACTCCTTATAAGCAGCACCGGCTAACCACGCGTGCTGGAAGTTGCATTTTCCCGGCATATTGCAGCTGCAGAAGACGACTTGGACTATCCACAGACCATGTTTCCCACTACACCGGTAGGGTAGGCTTAGCTTTAGTCGTCGCTACCGCTGCAACCACGCCAGACTGTCGTACTGCGCAGTAGCTACAGGAGTGGATTGGATTGGATGCCTTGCTAGCTCCAGTACATAGTTGCCAGGCATTCCAGCAGAATCCGCTAAAACTGGCTGAACCGAAGCCTATTGACGAGATTCGAGAAAATTTAAGGACCTGAAAAAATTCAAGGGTTTTCAAGGCCTTGAAAATGCTATTATCAAATTCCAGGGTTTTCAAGGGTTTCAAGGACCGCATCGAACCCTGCTTTTCCCTCATGGACACCACCAATCTTTCGTTCAAAAGCAGTGGTGCTCACACCAACAGCAGAATTTCTGCAAAACGAGCTCTCTAGCACTACTGTGTTAATCAGACAGCTACTACGGCTTAAACAATGATCTAGGATGGATGAAAATTATTGATGCTATGCTTCAGTAGTGGCAGAATACAAACGTTTCAAAATAGTTTTGCTTCCAAAAATCAGCTTCCCCACTTATTAAATGTTGCCAAAAAGTGTCCCTAAAGGACACATCATGTGGAGTGAAGGCCCACTGTTCACAATGACGAGAATTAGTGCTGTGAAACTGAACTAACCGTGGGTGCCTCCAATGGCCTTGACCGCCAAGTAGTGAGGACCCACATCACCTTGCAGGGGCACACCCACCAGTCGTACCAGCGGGCTGCTGCCTTTTTCTTCCACCAGTGAAAGCCAAGATGGCAGCCGATCCTCACCTGCTTCAACCACCTGAAATAATGACACAGCCAGAATTATTAGCAAGGACAGGTCACGCAGACATGTGCAAATGTTCATCGCTTTGAATATTCAAACCAACATAGTGAAATTCAAATTTTCTTCCATACAAATTTAAATGACAAATTTCGAAGTATTTCAAATAAACAGATATTTAAAGCACATGACCCCCTACAAATGTGCTTTCACTGCAGTGAAGGGGTGTTATATCGTGAATACACCTAGACCAGGGAAATCTGCACTGGCAAAGCCCCTCTTTAAGGTTAAATAAACACATTACCTTAATGTCAATTGATTGTTTTTCAAGTTTAAAAGCTTGTTATACTAGCTTTCATGCTCTACTAGTGGCGGATCCAGAGGGAGGAAAATCGCACCCCCCCCCCCCAAAGCCTGTGTCGTCCCCGTCTCTCCAGTCCTTGCTGTCCACCTCCTATCATCAATTAGGACTAATGAGTAGGACGAATGTGAGAACATATTAACAGTACCTATGCTATCATAGGGCTTTTTGTGCTAGTAAAAGAAAAAAAAAGTAATGACCCCCCCTCTTTTGGTGTTATCTCAGGAGACCCCCCCCCCCCCTAATATGAGTAGCTGGACCTGCCCCTGTGCTCTATGCATAGAAAATTTTAAAACACAGCCTATTTTACATAATCTAACTAAAGTCTAGAGTTGCTACCATTTAAAATTACTTCCACCTCATTTTCGACAAAAAGTAATGACGCGCATGCCTTGTTCAATTTAAAAAAAAAGAAACAGTGAGCAAGTTAGTCGAATCATGACAAATTAGCTAATTTAATTATTCTTGTTACATGTGATATATACTAGTATAATCTGAAATTATTCAACCAAGTCATGATTCACTTTGTGATCACTTTGAACATAAAATGAATTCTCCCACAAGTGCTCATTCTGTCAAAAGGCCTAAATGTAGTTCATCTATAAAACAGATGGCAAAATGAAAGTTAAAGGGGCCCTGCAATACTTTTTGAGCATGATCAAAAAACGCTGCCAATAAGTTGTAGAGGCTTCCAAAAATACGCGAGCCAAACATTATAGCGTAACACGCGGTTGGCAATTCACATTAGATTATCAAAATCAGCTAAAAATTGCTTTGTCTTCTCTCAACAAATGACAAAGGAAGCTTAAAAATCGCTAGTAGAAAACCTTCTATGAGCCATTCGCCGATTTGAACACGTCACACTCAATTGTTACAGAAATTGCCGTGGGAGGCCGTGACTTGTCCACAAGTGCGCGCGCAATCACACTGAAAATGTCACAAACTATTCGAATAAAAAAAATGAAAAGAAGTGCCCAAGGTCACGAGGCACACGTGACTTATTTTCTTTGCTCATGCCATTCCTCCCTGCTTACCTCACAGTGCCTTCATTGGGACAAGATAAGAAAGAATGCGATTGCAGTGTGTGACATATCTTTGTGATTCCGCTCGGGCTGATAGACTGTTAAAATTTTTGCGGGATTGAATTCATGAAACAATAAACTCGCAAACTCATAGCCTTCCCGATTTGCCAATTAGCTCTGGCAACAACACAACGGTGCAATGAAGGCGATAGCGAAAAATTGTAATATTATACGAAGTCTGGCAGCCAACCCTTTTAGATTCTATTTCGCGGAACTCCTACAAAATAGTGTGAGCAAATATGGCCGCTCTAGGGAGAAGCGCTCTTTTCACACAGCCTCTTCCAAGGTTTATGTTCATATTTTCGTCGTTTTATTCGCAACTTCGCCTCCATCACATCGCCCTTGACTGACCTTCTTGCCTGCAACAACGACCTTTCCAGTTGGTCGTCAGCTTGTGATGATGCATTTGCCACACTCCGCCACCTTTTTACGTCACCTCCTATACTGCGACATTTTGATCCTCTTGTCCCGATGGAAATACACACGGATGCTAGCGGAGTTGGCCTCGGTGCTGTGATCGCCCAGCGTAAACCTGGATTTGATGAGTACGTCGTCTCTTACGCCAGCCGTGCACTCACAAAAGCAGAAGCCAACTATTCAGTCACCGAAAAAGAGTGTCTAGCCATCATATGAGCCATAGACAAGTTTCGACCATATCTTTACGGGCGCCCATTCAGCGTGGTTACAGATCATCACGCATTATGTTGGCTCTCCTCATTGAAAGAACCCACCAGCCGGTTCGCCCCTTGGCCGCTTTGGCTACAAGAGTACGACATCCACGTCGTTTACCGATCTGGCCGAAACATTCCGACGCAGACACTTTCTCCCGATCACCTCTACGATGTAGTGACAAGTCGCCGTCTTCGCCTGCCCCCGACGTATCTGCACTTAGTAGTGTCAGCGACATGCTACAGGAGCAACGAAAAGATCCTTGGATCGCTTCACTTATCAACTTGTTGAGTCGAACTCCCTCGCAAAATATCCCTAGAGGTATGCGTCGTCAAATATAGCACTTCGTTGTCAGAGATGGTTTGCTATACAGACGGAATTATCTCTCCGAAGGACGCCAATGGCTCCTAGTCATTCCCAGACTTCTCCACTCAGACATATGCGCCTCCTTTCACGCCGACCTACAATGCGCCCATGCTGGAGTGTTAAAAACCTACACCCGCCTGTCCCACCGCTACTACTGGCGTGGAATGTATCGCTTCGTTCGTCGCTACGTACGTTCCTGTCTCGCTTGTCAACGCCGGAAGAATCCCACTCCAAGTTCTCCAGCTCAACTACAACCCTTACTTTGTCCTGCCCGACCGTTTGACCGTGTTGGTATTGATCTGTTTGGACCTCTTCCGATTACACCGGCTGGAAATCGCTGAGTAATCGTCACTATCGATCACCTTAAGCGCTACGCAGAAACTTCACCACTCTCTTCTGCGTCAGCCAGCGACGTCGGTCGTTTCATACTGCATCAGATCATTTTACGTCACGGTGCACCGCGTGAACTCTTGAGTGACCGAGGGCGTGTGTTTTTGTCAGACGCTGTCGAATCGCTTCTCAAGGAATGCCAAGTCATTCATCGCACCACCACCGCGTATCATCCTCAATCTAACGGCATTACAGAAAGATTCAACCGTACATTAGGAGATATGCTGTCAATGTACGTCGCAACCGATCACACCAATTGGGACAGTATTCTCCCTTTTGTAATTTACGCGCATATCACTGCTGTCCAGACAATCATTGGTTTCTCTCCATATTTCCTCCTTTATGGTCGCGAGCCCTCTTGCACGCTAGACACCATCCTTCCTTACCACCCGGATGTTGCTGAGTCGACGACGATGTCACGAGCTGCTAAATACGCAAAAGAGTGTCGTCAGCTTGCCCGCTCCTTCACAAGTGCTGAAGAGCAACGCCAGAAACACCACCGCGATAGCTCGACGCCTCCGGCTTCTTATGCATCAGATGACCTTGTCTGGCTTCGCATCCCTTCAACCACCCCTGGTCTCTCAACGAAACTGATGTACAAGTATGACGGACCTTACCGTGTGGTTAAACAAACTTCACCCGTCAATTACATCGTGGAGCCGCTTGAGCAGCCCCATGATCAACGACGCCGTGGACGTGAGACTGTCCACATAGACCGCCTAAAACCGTATTACGATCCCTCTATTGTCTCCTGTCCATGAGTCGCCAGGATGGCTCTTTTCCGGAGGGGAGGAAAATGTAGGGAAGAAGATGAGTGCTACTCAGAAAGGCAGGGGGTATGACTCAGTCGGTGAAGAAGACGTCGTTTGGTTGGCTGGGGACTCAGGCTAGTTCCGCCATTACCACTTGACGTGTCGTGACCGCTCTCCTGTTTTATAAAAGAGTGCCACTCTAAAACGCCTCATTGTAATATCATTGTTATCGCAATAATAACGCACTTTTTTGCCACTTAATAAGTGTTTTGGGTTAGCTGTGCCTTCAGTCCCCTTTTTGCTTAATTTGTGTGTTTAGTTTCCGAAGTGTGGTTCTGAACCTGCATCTAACAGAATCCCCTTTATGACGAATTTTTCCAGGAATTTATCAATTTTGATACATTCCTTAACTGTAGATGCAAAACCATTACGCATCCGTGCATCGTCTGCATAAGGTTGATATTTTCTAGAACATACTCCAGTGGAGTATCAGTTCAGCGGATAAATGATTTCACCGAAAATTTTTGAGCACGAAATTTGACCAGGGCTACTATGTCTGCGAAAAACCTAGTGATGCTTAGCAAAATCTAACAAAACACTCCTGAAAACTTAGGAATCAACCAGCTCCACTGTATTTATGCCTTGTACAACTTAATGCAAGCCTTGCTATCTATTCTTTTTTGTAATACACATACATACAGGGCACAGATGTTACGAGGTAAAAAACTTTGCTCGTTGAAAAGTGTGCAAGCAAATGTGGTAGTGAAACACGATGTGCAATAATAGGATACTTGTTATACCTTGAATAAAAGAAGTGTGCATTTCAGGGCTCATTTTCTTTGTTAAGACACAATATTAATGAGATCTTAGATAGGCGCCGTGATAGCTCAATTGGTAGAGCATCGAACGTGTTATTCAAAGGTCGCATATTTGGTCCTGCCCACAGCTAGTTATCCTTTCGCCTACTTTTCTTTCTCTATAATTACATCACAACGCCCCAAATACATTTCTTATCATTATTGTCTTTAGATCTTGTAAATGTTATATTACTTGCAATATGATACTCGTTATAATATTTCCATGTGCGTTTTTTATTTACCCTTATGTTTCATTCGGTTTTCGGCCACAAAGCCTCTCTGGAAGGCTCAGCGCAAACTGCGCCTCGTTGTTCAAGAAGGTTCAAGATGATAGTAGATTGTTTTGTTAAGGTTACGCCCAATTGGCGGACATCACAGATTATTCTGGAACCTACGTGGCCACTAGTGATAACGCTAGAATATTCAATGAAACGTGTATAAATGCCGACGCGCTTCACCGCTTGTCAGTTGATCAACGACCGACGCTCTGCTCGCCGCTATCAGTGCCAGCGTCTTGCTGTAATACGACTTTCTTTTCACT